CTCTGCATTGCCGCAAAAAGTACAAAGAGTATCAATATTTTTCTTACGTTTAACCAGATATGTCTTTACCGGAAAACATCTGTGGATCAACTTAAACGAAACCTCTCTTATCTTATTAGTTATAATAAATTTTCTTGGTAGAATCCAAGTGTTTTTCCAGTCTATATCATTGTAAATATTGTTCCAGTAAAATACAGCTGCAGGTTTGGAAACAATATCTCTTTGAATGATTTGTCTAATACATTGATTTGTGGCTTTATCACTCAATAAAGGACATATGTTACCGATGAATATGCTACCGGGATTTAGTTCTGGAATAATACAATTTCTACCCTTAGGAGCAGACACCAATAACCTTCTCACTCCATCTGGTATTGCATCAAAAACTACAGCGTATTCTCTTGGAGTGACAGGAAAATCATAAACAAACAAAAATTCCTTATAGGAAAATAATTGACCATCATCATTCAGTAACTGACTTACAAGTAAAATATTTCTATCAACCCATTTTTGAATATATAATGATTTATTCTTAAATTTAATATCCTGATTGTTCCAAATGAAATATTTATGGGGAGAAAAGTTGTGAGAGTATATCATTAACCAAGATGATAAGAGTTGACTATGAAAGTTGGAGAGTTTAATCGGTAATTTAGAGATTTTGTAATTGCATCTTAGCAGAAAGTGCAGTCCTCCAAATGAGTTAAAGATGTGGTTGGTAACAACGTTCCAAATTGAACTGGGATTTTTTAAAAAGAGTTTGATCCATTTGATTTTAAAAGACGCGTTTAAGGAGGTGAAATCTAAAGAGTTTAGACCGCCAAAACACAATTTGTTTATCATTACATTTTTTTTAATATGATGTATTCTCTTTTTCCAAATGAAGTTAAATAATATTCTATCAATTTTTGTGCATAGTTCTTTCGAAACATCAAGTGCCATAGCTGCATAAATAAGTCGGGAGAGGCCTTCAACTTTGGCTACCAAGGATCTTCCTGTAATGGATAATTCTCTTTGAAGCCAAAGATTAAATTTATGTTGTATTGCAGTTATAAGAGGGTCAAAATTTTCAGATAATCTGGCATCTTGGTCTTTTTGAATGATAATACCAAGATATTTAACCTTATTTTTAACAGGGACACCTGATATAATAGTATCCGTGCAGAATTTAACAGGGAGAAGTTCACATTTTGGAATGTTGAGTTTAAGACCAGAGGCTATTGAGAAATTATTGACAACTTTGAGAGCTTCATCAACTTGATATTTATCTTTTAAAAAAAGTGTTGTGTCATCCGCTAGTTGAGTAATAGATAGTACTCTGCCAGCAATAGAGAGACCCACCACACTGCTATTTTTAAAGTGAATAGAAAGTAACTGCATAGGAAGAAGGAAGAGAAATGCGGAAAGTGGACAGCCTTGCCGGATCCCACGGTTGATATCAAATCTTTTCGTTGTACCAAATGGGAGTTTGATTGAGCTATTTGCATCTGCATATGGAGTTTGAATTGATTCCTTAAAGATATTTCCAAAACCGAAAATGTCAAGTGCTCTGAACATGAATTCATGTTCAATGGAGTCGAAAGCTTTATAGAAATCCAAAAAAAGAATGAAACTATTATCCGTGATTAAATCTGAATAATCCAAAATATCAATTACCAGTCTTATATTGTTAGTTATGTGTTTACCAGTCATGAAACCAGACTGTGTTTCATCAATGATATCATTCAGTGCACATTTTAACTTTTTAGCCAAACACATAGCAATTATTTTATAATCATTATTCAGCAGTGAAATAGGTCTCCAATTTTCTATCGAAAGGAAGTCTTTTTGAGGTTTTGGAATCAAAGTAATTAGCCCCTGAGTCAAAGAAGGAGGCAGCTTGTTATTATCAATGCTTTCAATATATACTTTATGTAAAAAGCACGACAGATCCTTTGAAAATAATTTGTAAAATTCCGAAGTCAAACCGTCATTCCCTGGACTCTTATTAAGCTTCATTTTATTAATAGCCTCTTCAATGTCTAGTATTGTGGTGGGGGAATCACAAATGGCTTTATTATTGTCACTAATAATCTTAATATTACTTAAGGAGTTAAAAAAAATTTCCATGGCTTCTGTAGAAAGATTAGATTTATATAAATTTTTATAGAAAAGTTCACAAGTCTTGGAAATCACTTGAGGGTCTTGTGTGATGATCCCGTCTGTACAAAGTTTAGTCATGCTGGCAAGAGCATTATGGTGTTTTTCTAATTTGAAAAAATAGCTAGAGTTTTGTTCTCCCTCTTCAAGCCATTTCCTTCTTGACCGCACAAAGGTACCTTTTACCTTGTAAATATATATATTATCTAATTTTAATTGTAGAATTTGAAGTCTGTTCCGGTTATCTTCCGATAAATTATCAGGTGATCTAGACAAGGTAAAAATTTCAGAAATTATTTCTGACTCTTCTTTTTTTTTTTTTTAACTGTTTCAGCTCCCCTTTTCATTAAAAGGGACCTCAATTCAAATTTCATTAGCTCCCAATTTTTACAAAAAGTATTTTCAACACATGCCTTGTTCCAAAACTCATCTATTTTTGTTTTAATTTCCTTTACCAAAGAATCATTCAGTAGAAGAGAATTATTTAATTTCCAATATGAATTCACTCTTTTAGATGGTTTTCTAGCACACAAACATATCTCCAGAAAAATTGTTTTATGATCTGTCAAGGGTGTTGGCAACATTTTTGATGTAGAAACATATTCGGATAAAGGATCAGAAATTAGCCAATAATCAATACGAGACTGTAAGGAGCCAGATCTATTTTTCCATGAAAATTCCTTAATTGTTGGATTTTTGATTCTCCAGATATCAATAAGGTCTCTTTCATTTATAAAATCCAACATGTAATTACTACTCTCCTGACTTTTACTTGGCCATCTGTCTATCATGTCATTGAGTGAATGATTCCAGTCTCCTCCTAATATAATCTTTAGATTAGCAAATTTACTTATTAAAGACTCAATTTTTTCATTTATAACAAGTATTAGGTCAATATTCTCCTGTTTGTTATTATAGCCGTAAATGTTACCCAATAAGAGGGTCTGATCATTAAAAAAAACAACCAGCAAAATAAAATGTCCGTTTGGATCAGTTTCTGACAATATAATTTTTCCATTAAATTTATGTTTTAAGATCAGAGTTCCCGCTGAATGATTTGTGCCATGAGACATCCATAAATCTTCACCCCATTGAGATTTCCAGAAGTTAGCGTCCTTAGGTTCAGAATGAGATTCTTGTAAGAAACAAAAGTCAGTATTCAAACTTTTAGCATATAAAAACAGAGCTTTCCTTTTGGTATTGTCTCTTAGTCCTCGAGCATTAAAAGAAATAAAAGATAAAGATGAAATTTTGAAAAGTAAATAAAGATTTTACCCTGAGAAGAGTGTGTAAGCTTCAGAGAGAGCAGAACTACTCTGTCTAAAAAAGTGCTTCACAAAACAATTTAGCAGCAACAGCATACTATAAGTCTTCAGAACAATAGGGGAACGAGACCTTGAGGTATATCCACAACTGGGCTGGAAGAGATTTCAGTGAATTTCTTTTCTGTTCACGAAAGCACGGGCTCCCACGAAGTAGGCAATTTTCCCTTCCTTACGTGCTTTCTCCACCTGTGGCCATAGTTGGTTGCGCCTCTCTCGGTCCTCGGGAGAGAGATCTTCTTTTAAATGGAGCTTCCTTGTCTTCAGGTAGTCAGATCGCTTCGCCGCCTTCCAGATGATGTCTCGAAAGTGTCTCATAGTAAATTGCAGGATTATGGCGCGATGCAGTGGTGCAGAAGAGGACTCACGTCGTCGGCCGATTCTGTGGACTGAATCGAGTACCTCCGGGAACTTATCTCGGTGGCCAGGATCCATGTTTTGGCAGATTTCAATAACCTTACTGCGTACATCTTCTCCTTCTTCTTCAGGTAGACCGTGAAGTCGCAGGTTCCATCTTCGTTTATACCGAGACAACTCCAGCACTTTGTTTTCCAGTGTTTGAATTTTCTCTTCTGCTTTATCCACTTTTACTTCAGTACGAGACACTTTTCCTTTTAGCTCTCTGAGATCTTCTGAGATAAAGTTAATAGTAACCTTCAGGTCGTTAATACTCTTCTTGATGTTAGCTCCTTGCTCTTCGATAGCCATCTTGAGCGTCTTAATAATGCTTTCCGCTGTGTCAGTTTCCATCACTCTTTTCTTACCAGGTTTTGACGGGGAGGAAGTAGGAGTAATAAGAGTTCTCTTATTTGAGCTCAGTTTTTTTTCCATCACATACAGCTAGAAGTTTGCACCTTAGGGTTCGATTTGCTGCTTATAAAGGAATTTTAAGACGGAGCAAGTTCTGTAAAGACCGTTCACAGCGCCGCCATCTTGGGGACCCACCTCACATCGGTGTTACAGATAAATTGGTCTCACCTGTAAAACCCGGACAGCGTCATCATTATCAGCCTATTATTGGGGACCGACAGCAGGTCACGTGGTTCTGCAGCGCATCCTTCTCAGCCCTCCAGCTGGATCAGTACCGGGTTACAGGATGGATCCGCTCGACTGCTTCCGTCTCTAGTCGTTATTTGCTTACCTTTCCATTGTGTTTGTTGTTTTTTCCAGCAGCTGGACTGCTCCGCCTCACACCGCAGGTACGTCGCTCTTGTTTTATCGATGCAAATCTCTCCACCCTCTGCAGGACGCGCGTGCACGCCCACACGCACGCATCTCAAACTGATGCAGAGAGGCGGATTTCACAGACAAACGTTTGCAGCGCATTTCCCGGTTTTTGTGTCGGAAGTTTCTGCAGCTTTTGTCTCCTGCGGGCACGGTGTTGTGTTTGGGTGCTCCGGCGTGCGTCGGACATGGTAGCTGTCTGATTTGGTCTTTCTCTGCTGCTTTTGTGCTGTTTTATACGGAATAAAAGTGGATTATCTGTGTGTGAAGAAGGAAGCAGAAGCTCTGCAGCTGATATCGAAGCTGAATGTGAGTTTAGAGGCTGGAATCATAATCTGTAGTAATGACTCAGCAAGTTTGAGGAGAGGAAACTCAACACTGTAAAACCTAATAGGTATTGATCTGATCCGTCTTTGGTTTATAAATTTGAGGTTCAGAGTCAGGAGGAAAAACTGAGTTTGTTGTAGAAGAATAATGTTTCAGAAGCTGTGTAAATGACTGACAAATAAGAAAGATATAATTTGTGTTCTTGTTTCTGTTCACGTATATGTAGCTTGCTGAAAAAAATAATTTCATTAAGATAATAATCAAATTGATATTATTGACAATGACCTGGAAAAAAATCATTGTAACTGGTGAAAAATATGCTCTTATTTTGACAGGCCGTGCTCATTTCCTCTCCTTCAAAAGTCTTGTGGTGGCAGAGCGAGGGCAAAACACATCGGTACCACTTGACATGTCCAAAAATTTTAATAACAAATCTTCATTAATTTTCAATGATGATCCCCAATTGATCAACAGAAAACTTTCTATAATTTTATTTTACACATTATTAAATTGTTGTTTTCATTCTATTTCTAACCAAGATATTTAAACCTATTATTCCACCATATAAAAATAATATTGTAGGTGAAGAAGATGGGAGATTATTACTCACATCATGTCATGAACAGAACTTGGAGGACCCGTGATGACACCAAACACAGTAAGACGTTTTTAACAGTCTTTACTAGCCAGAAGCTAATAGGAGGCGTTCCTGGAGAAAACTCAGGTAAGGGCAGAGTCAAAGGCAGGCGTGGGTTGAAACCAGATCGAAACTAAGCAAGTACAGGGAGCAGGCTGGAGACGTGGTCGTAGACAGGCTTGGGTTGTGGTGGCAGGCAGAGTTCTTGGTGATGGTCAGACGTGAAAACGAGGTCAAGGGACTGTGATCAGGCAGGAAGGAAGGCTGGAATATTTACTGGCAAAAGTGTTAAATAATCAGGCGCTCGCTTGGTGTTAGATCAGGAGTCTTATAGGGAGCAATGCAGGTGGAGCTGATGAGAGACAGGTGGTTTGGATGATGTTGATGGTGAGTTGACTGTGGTTGCTGGGGAAACTGGGCTTGGCTGGAGCGGTGGCATGAGGGGACCAGGTATGATGCATGAAGGCTGATGAGATGAATGATGGTGCATGGAGGTCAGGGCATGGCAGGATCATGACAGGATGGATCCTTGGGGGCCGGCGACGATGAACCAGGGACCACGAGACTCTGGGAGGCCGGCGTTGACGAGGACGAAGCCGGAGGGCCCTGGGAGGCTGGCGTCAGCGGGCGAGGACAGGGGCGGAGGTGCAGACTTGAGTGGAGGCGCGGGAGGCTGGAGGCGCAAACATTGCTGGAGGTGGGTCCGCCGTCTGGACTGGAGGCAGAGCTGATGCAGGAGGGGACGTGACCTGACTTGAGGCGCCGGACTTGGCACTGACTTGGCTGGAGGCACCGGACCTGGCACTGGCTTGACTGGAGGCGCCGGACTTGGCGCTGACTTGACTGGAGGTGCCGGACCTGGCGCTGGCTTGGCTGACTTGACTGGAGGCGCCGGACCTGGCGCTGGCTTGGCTGACTTGACTGGAGGCGCCGGACCTGGCGCTGGTTTGGCTGGAGGCGGCTTGGCTGGCTTGACTGGAGGGGGTGCTGGCTTACCTGGAGGCGCCGGAGGTGGTGCTGGCTTGGCTGGAGGAGATGGGGACGCTGGAGGCAAAGTCTCTGGAGAAGACGGGGACACTGGCGGAGCCACTTAGATGGGCGGAGCCTCTTGGACGAGCGGAGCCCCTTGGACGGGCAGCGCCGGGACCACCACTGGAACTGGATGGGGTGCACCCTCAGGGACCACTGCGTGACCTGTATGCGGTGCGACCCCTAGGACCACCGCTGGACCTGGATGCGGTGCGACCCCTGGGACCACCGCTGGACGTGGATGTGGTGCGACCCCTGGGACCACCGCTGGACCTGGACACGGTGCAACCCCTGGGACCACCGCTGGACTTGGATGCGGTGCGACCCCTGGGACCACCGCATCCACTCCAGCCAAGCCAGCGCCGGACCTGGCTCTGGCTTGGCTGGCTTGACTGGAGGTGCCGGAGGTGGTGTTGGCTTGACTGGAGGCGCTGGAGGTGGTGTTGGCTTGACTGGAGGCGCCAGAGGTGATGCTGGCTTGGCTGGAGGCACCGGAGGTGGCGCTGGCTTGGCTGGAGGCGCTGGCTTGGCTGGAGGCGCCGGAGGTGGTGCTGGCTTGGCTGGAGGCACCGGAGGTGGCGCTGGCTTGGCTGGAGGAGACGGGGACGCTGGAGGCAAAGTCTCTGGAGAAGAGCCTCTTGGACAAGCGGAGCCCCTTGCACGGGCAGCACTAGAACCACCACTGGACCTGGATGTGGTGCGACCCCTGGGACCACCGCTGGACGTGAATGCGGTGCGACCCCTTGGACCACCGCTGGAAGTGGATGCGGTGCGACCCCTTGTACCACTGCTGGACGTGAATGCGGTGCGACCCCTTGGACCACCGCTGGAAGGGGATGCGGTGCGACACCTGGGACCACCACTGGACATGGCATGGCAATAGGGTCTTGAGACCTGAGCAGCGTTGATGCAAAACCTTGGATCTGGGGGCTGGTCACCTGACGAGCTGGTTCGCAGTAGATCCAGGAGTTCGGTCACCCTGGTCTCAAAAACGGAGATGGCGCGGTCTACTCTGAGTCGCCCTTCCTGTGTCAGCGTCGAGTCCATGTTGTGGCCAGATTATTCTGTCATGAACAGAACTCGGAGGACCTGTGAAGATACTAAACAGTAAGACATTTTTAACAGTCTTTATTAGCCAGAAGCTAATAGGAGGTATTACCGGAGAAAACTCAGGTAAGGGCAGAGTCAAAGGCAGGCGTGGGTCGAAACCAGGGCTGGGCGATATGGCAAAAATAGAATATCACGATTTTTCCAATATTTTATCACGATTTCGATTTTATCACGATTTTTTTATCCATGAATAGCATAACTTCAATTGCGTATTAAAGAAGAGAAACATTGAATAAATAGACATTTATTCATATTAGGGATAATCAGCACAGTGCTAACACACTTATATTTTAAACTCACACCAGAGATGATAAAAGCCCTGAGAGAAACAATTACAAAAATCAGTTTTTCTCGTTTTTCAAGTAACTTAACATCAATTAAAATCGTAAACATATTTAAAGTGCAAACATGTCAATTGCAAACGTATTGTGCAAACATTAACTTGTTCAAAATACTATGTAGCTCCCAGTTGCTCATGTAGTGGATAGTTAAGCTCAAATACGGCTCTGATGTGCGGCTGGACCAGAGATCGCTTGTGGTAGCAAATAACTGCGCATTCTGAATATTTTCTGCAATAAGTCTCTAAATAAAGTAAAATTTTCCAGTGCAGATTGGAGACAACCCATAGAAGCACTGATTTGATCTCATTTCAGAGAAAAATAGAACAGGTTAGATGCACCTAATAAATAAAATTACTAACAAACTCAGGAATCTTTCTTTGCTTCACTGTTCTGGTGCTGAAAATATCACTAATGCGGATCAAAGGAGATACACAGATGAATGCACCTCTTATTATTTGGAGACTACATTTACTGCAGCTGGCAGAGGCAGAGATTTTTTCTATTGATACACGGAATTTACAGAATCATTTTAAATGTTAATAGGGGAAGACTGCAGGAGGGAGCGGTAAAATACAGAGGTCCCTAACAAAAACAAGAAACTTTACGAGTCTGATGAAACCCGCTGGTTTTCCATCAGGCAGTCACGGGGCAGCTCCATCGACCCAGTGACCGAGCTCAGTCGGTACCGACACCGGCTCGGCAGAGGGTGAACGAGCCGAGGCGACATCGTGCTCTGCTTAAGAAGCGGTGTTATTTTCCTGCTTCAGAAGAAGCGTCCAACGTGTTTTTACGCTTTCTCCGAGACATGTCACGTCACTAAGTTGTTATCGCCGCGCGCTAAGGAAACCCTGCGTTCCTCTTCGGAACGAAAACCTCGTCGCTCAGCCGCGGCGAAGCCATGTTTGTTCACACACAGGTGAAGGTGAAAACAAGCGGGGCACTAATATATTACTATGACTCACTCTGATTGGTTAAGGGTCAAACAAAGGCGTGTCATTCGCCTGAGGTAAGTTCCCTTTTCATTCAGAGGCAGAAATTCAACAGCAGAGCTGTGAATCGTGATAAAACGGTCTCTCAAAAATGACAGACCGTCAGATGTGTAGATCGTAAAACGGTCTAAAATCGTCATATCGCCCAGCCCTAGTCGAAACCAGATCGAAACTAAGCAGGTACAGGGAGCAGGCTGGAGACATGGTCGTAGACAATGCTAGGGTTGTGGTGGCAGGCAGAGTTCTTGGTGATGGTCAGGCGTAGAAACGAGGTCAAGGGACTGTGATCAGGCAGGAAGGAAAGCAGGAATATTTACTGGCAAAATTGTTCAATAATCTGGCGCTCGCTTGGTGTAGGACCAGGAGTCTTACGCCGGGAACACACCGGCTGCTGAAGCGCCGCGAAACGAGGACCGCCTTCATTCGGTGCCCTTGTTATCTTATTCTATAGACAACATGGGCCGCCGAAGCGCCACACGCCGGCATGCGCCGGCGTTCCAGCTCGCGCCTTGCAGTGATTGTTTTGGCGTCTGCTCTATTTTTTTCGCGAGCCGCGGGTGAACCTCGTCAATTCTGGCAGGAAGTCAAACCTAGACATTAGAGGCAGGCCGGTAAATTTAACAAATTAAAGCATTTCAAAATACAATTCCGCGTTAGTCAAATGTGTTCGTAAACAGACACTGCATAAAAACAACACACACGCACACACAAGTTCGCTCTGTGTGTGTGTGTGACCACGTGAAGGGGGTGTGGTTTTGGGTGTCTTTCAACCGGAGCAAACAGGACAGAGGCAGAAAATCGTAGGGCAGCTATTAACAACTGGTTCACTCCATAGGTTCACACACACGTACAAACACACATACAAACAGCAAGGGGGGGGGGGGGGGTGTAGAGGAAAAGAGCAGAGAAAAGGCAGAGAGGAAATGGAGGACACCAAGTGGTTAAAAGAAAAACTACGAGGTGCACCTCGACCGGAGAGGAGAAACAAGCATCTGGTCTGAACTGAGGAGCAGCAGCCGAATTCTGTGAGCGCTTCGCCTCCCGGCGCTTCGGCGGCCGGTGTGTTCCCGGCGTTATAGGGAGCAATGCAGGTGGAGCAGATGAGGAGTTAATGAGAGACAGGTGGTTTGGATGATGTTGATGGTGAGTTGACTGTGGTTGCTGGGGAACCTGGGCTTGGCTGGAGCGGTGGTATGAGGGGACCAGGTGTGATGCATGAAGGTCAGGGCATGGCAAGATCATGACACATCAGTGCAATTTACATCTAAAAATGAAGACTAAAAGAAAAATGTTCCATAATTGTACCTTCAAATCATCGGCTAAAACGTCCAGCTAGCTTTAAGTCCATGTGAATTAGACTGCATTTAACTCATTGCGGAGCTTTTTTCTGCTCTTTTTGGAAGCTCTTTGGAGTTACAGAATAAAACAAAGATTTCAAATATTTGTGACACAAATTCTAGAAACATGTTCACATATTAGAAAACCTAAATGCAAAAAATAAATACGGCTACAAGTAACACGGTGCGCTCTACACATACAATACGATTAGATCCTGCTCAGTGTTGTGAGTAACCTGATAGCAGCTGAAGTGAATCTGCTTCAGAGGGGATTACATTACTCCTAACAGGTCGTAAAGTATCCAGATGTTGGCCAAGGTTTCAGCATAACACTTAGTTAGAGGCTGTAGATGCTGTTCGGTCTTGAAGCTGATTTTATTATTGGATCTTCAGTCGGATAGTGAAGTGTGAGGCAGAGCCTTCAGCCAACATGTCCCCGAGTGTGCTGCCCACTTGTCTCTAAATATAAATCCACACACCAAGAAATAACCTGCCTCTGTATCTGAAGGGGCTTGATGCGTCCTGGAGTCTTAAGAGCTGTTGCAATCGGGATGAACCTTCAGAAGGAAGAATGTATCAGTTATTGCACATCAGATTTCTGCAGAATGTTTCTGGTTCTGCACAAGAAATATATACCAGGTTAGCTGCAGTTGGCAGTAAGTCATGATTGGACACTCTGCTCCGTAAGTGAAAAACTGTGACTTCTGTGAAAGCATGCATGCAAGATGTCTCCACACTCGCGCCAAGACTCATCTTTGTTCAATCCTTTTGTAACAATCCCCAGGGATTAGGAGTCTATTAACTGCAGCAGGCAGCTGTTTGCAGATCAACTGTTCCAGACTCTACGCTGTCTGAATGCTAGCAGAGCTGCTCAGTGGCGTGCATCATGTTGGGATCCTTCAAAATCAATTTTGTTTACAGCAAGTGATCAATCTATGAAAGCACATCATGGCAAACACATGCAGGGCCGTGCACGAGGAATCACAGAAGTCAAATCAAGCTGGTTTAATCTACTGGGATTTTCACCCACAACCATCTTTACAGCTACTGGTCAGACTGGTTGTAGATGATAGAAAGACAACAGCTCAGACAGCACTGGTTCCTACCAAGGTCTGCAGAAGCAGCTGCTCCAGATGGACTCCAGCAGCCAAAGACTACACCCAGAAAACTGGTCACAGTGGATCTCCAGAACTGGACCATAACAGACAGGAAATGCCGGTTCTGGCCTGATGAGTCTGGATTTCAACTGCTACATTCATATGGTCCAGTCAGACCGTGATTCAAGATATTGGGAAGGTGAGAAGCAATAATGCTAAAGCTTTGCTAGCAGGGAAGTTCCTTCAAACTGCTGCTTGTCACCAATGGTGAAACTTCAATAACACTGAGCTGTCACTCACCATAGGTCTTCTTATCTCAGCTGCTTCTGCTCATCATGATCGTCCATTTAACCACGGTGAGCCATCCAGATGCTGGGACTGTGGATCTTCTCCTGCCAGTAAACCGAGCTGAGCAGAAGACGTATCCACTGCATTCTTCACTGATGGCTGATCGCAGTGACTTTCAGACAAACTGGAGGGTAAAATGAGTGAAGAAGGCTAAAGGGATACTCTGGATCTGCGTTAAGATGACTTTAGTTTCTGGTGGCGACATCCTACTGAGCAGTGATTCCAGCTATGAAAAGCTTTTTGCATTTGGCCTCATCAGTTCAGCGACTGAAGTGGTCTAGCCAAATCACCGTTCTCCTGTTCTTTTGGATCCTAGGAGATCTCTGTTGGAGTTGACCCAGAAGACTGATGGAGCAGACTTAAATAATGTCCATGAATTAGAAGCTTTAGTTAATCTGAGTTAATATGTCGAGCAGAGGAACGGTAAAGGTAACAGACTCTCCCTAGTCTCACCTTCAAGATGAACCCCCAGCAGAGTCCCAATCGCCCTTCTCCCTCCCCTCTTGTATCCTGGATTCTTCCTTCCTGGGGATTAAGCTCCGCCCCACATGGTTCAGTTAGCCTGTTTAACCTTAACGCCCTCCAATTGGGGGCCTCTATGTCCTAAACATCTACAACTGTCCACATTCTCCAAACACAACCAAAACCACAACCAAACAGCCCAGATGGGAAACAAGGACATTTTAAATTGAAATAAATTAGGATACAATGATATTTGAACTTTATTTTAGAAGAGCATCTGACCTTCACTGGTGTCTGCTGGAAAAAAAAACCTTGAACAAAGGTTAAGGACCCCTGGAATAAATAAAACAATTGACTAAATTTCCTAAATGGAATTTGAACTCACAACCTCCATCCTGCCCTGTCAGCACTTTCACACAGGGCAGCTCTTCTAAAATAAAGTTCCAGTATTATTTTATCTTAATGTATCAAAAACCAAAAATTGCTTTGTTTACAATCTAAACTGTTTTGATTGTAGCTGTGCTCGGGGAATGCAAACAATCACTGACACTTGGGACATGAAACTCCAAAGGCCCCAATTGGGAGGTGCCAGGGCCCAAAGAAAAAGGGCCTGGGGCCTAAAGGGTTAGAAAACAGTGTAAAAGGCCCAGACTGGAGTCAAGGTCCCATTCTAACTGGCTCAGTTGGTTTTCTGTCAGGTGTTAGGGCTAGTCTAAATGCAGACACTTTATTTCAGCTCTGTTTCTTCAAGGCAGAACAGACTGTCCTAAGTTCAAGAGAGAATCTAGAAGACCAATGAATGTGACACTGGTCAGCAATCAAGGAGCTAATGTTATCTACCAGTAAAGATGCCCAGAATGGGCTAAGATAATCAAGGTGTCAGTCCTCAACATTGGTTGCTTCAAAATCATCAGTTTCCTTTGAATTCTGATCATATAAGAATCAGGTGCTACCCACCCAAAGGGTGAGAGTCGTTTTTTCAAGAGCTGCTTTTGTTTGTATGTTTTTTGTTGCTCTTTGCTAATGCAGATGAACATGTTTTTCTCTCCCTCCTGTTTTAGGTAATGCCATCCCAAAGGCTTCCTGGATCTCCAGCTGTGAAAGAGAAGGGCTGATCCACATCCTCCTCCAGGTTCCTACTGCTTTCCGCCTCATTTCCTCCTCCCATCTCTTTCCTGAACCTAACCTCTGTCTTCCCCCTCCTGTCCCATCCCATCATCTCACCCTGCCTGCAGGTCCAACCTTACATCAGAACCCCCACCTCATCTCTTTATCTGGTTTTATTCCTGCACACATCACCCTCTGCAGCCTCCTGCAGAGGTCCGGACCTTTCCTGCTGCCTGCTTTCTAGGACTCATGGCTGCAGGAGGCCATGCCCCTGAGATAGATGTGTCGACCAACCTACAGCAGGTAGGTTTGAAGAACACAAACGCTGTTCTGATTAGTGGGTCAGCATCTTGTGTGGTGTTGACAAAGCTTAACAAAACCTTTTATTCCTTTCAGAGCTTGTCTTTACTCGGAGGGGAGATTGTTTCCTTTTGTCTCTGATTAAATGCATTAAAGTGCAAATCCTGAAGCTTCCAGTGGGACTTTTAGAAAGCTTTAATGGTGTGACAGAGAAATGCATTGCAGTGCATTCTGGGAAGATGGGAGGTATACGTCACAGTCGTGGTAAATACTCTGGTGTTATCAGAATCAGAATCAAAATGAATTTTATTGCCAGCGCTCCTTTCAGAGCGTAGGAACTTGACTCCATAGTACAACCTGACCAAGGTTACACACACACACATATAGACAAGACAGATACAGGCAGACCATGGGAGCAGCCATGACGGCGCTCCTTTGTAGATGAGTAAGGGAATACATGAGGGAAGTTCAGGGAGGGAGAAAAAAGGCATTAACAGGGTTACACCAGCAGGGTGTAGCGCTCCAATGCAAAAAAAACACCCGACATGTAAACAACAAACGTCACAGTTCACAACATGAGACCCAGTAGGTAGGGGGGAGGGGCTGGGATCCTGGTTTCCTCAGCGGGGGCTGCCTGTGTGGCGCTCAACCAGCTGGCTCCGCAGGTGGGAGGAAGGTCATGGGGAAGCACAGAGAGCAGTGAGTCCTTAGCTTGATGACCTCGGTGGAGACCACAATCTGAAGGTGGGGGGGTGGGTGGATAGAGATTCACAGCATTTGTCTGCATTCCTTCCATTCCTTATGCCATGTGACGTGACAGCTTGCCACACATTCAGCTTCTTGTATATAATAGTTGAAGATTTGACTTTTAGAGGGAAGGTAACCCCTTCACCTGTTGGATCAGTTAAGATGTTGATCAATAATAAAATAATGAAAAATTTGTTACAAATAAAAACATTTGGAAGGTTTTCAGCTGTGATGGAGGGGCTTGAGTGTCTCAATGATCCTAGAAGCTAAGTTGTCTGAGGATTTCTGCCTCTGGTAGGGTCACCCATGGCAAACAAGTCCTAGGTGAGGGATCAGACAAAGAGCAGCCCGAAGACCTGTTATGATGAATTATATAAATGGAAACCGTGTTCCCTCGCTCGGACGTGGGTAACCGGGGCCCCCCTCTGGAGCCAGGCCTGGAGTTTGGGCACATTGGCGAGCGCCTGGTGGCCGAGCTTTCACCCATGGAGCCCGGCCGGGCACAACACGAAGAGAAAACGTGGGTCCCCCTTCCCATGGGCTCAGCACTCGTGGGAGGGGCCAAAGGGGTTGGGTGCAGTGTGTGACGGGTGGTAGTCGAGGGCGGGGACCTTGGCGGTCTGATCCTCGGCTACAGAAGCTGGCTCTTAGCACATGGAATGTCACCTCTCTGGTGGGTAAGGAGCCTGAGTTGGTGTGTGAGGTTGAGAGATTCCGACTAGATATAGTCTGACTCACCTCAACGCATGGCTCTGGCTCTGGAACCAGTTTCCTTGAGAGGGGTTGGACTTTCTACCACTCTGGAGTTGCTCCCACTGAGAGGCACCGAACATGGGTGGGCATACTAGTTGCCCCCCATCTTGGTGCCTGTACGTTGGGGTTTACCCCGATGAATGAGAGGGTAGCCTCCCTCCGCCTACATGTGGGGGGACAGGTTCTGACTGTGGTCTGTGCTTATGCACCAAACTACAGTTCAGATTACCCACCCTTTTTGGAGACCATGGAGGGGGTGCTTGAAAGTTCCTTCCGGTGACTCCCTCGTTCTGCTGGGGGACTTTAACGCTCACGTGGGCAACGACGGTGAGACCTGGAGAGGTGTGGTTGGGAGGAACGGCCCCCTGATCTGAATTCGAGTGGTGTTGTTGGGGTTATTAGGAGCGAACAATTAGTAAGCTTCAACTTACTTTTGGATTCTTCAATAAATTCTGTAAATATGGGAATATTTACTGATTTATTAATTAATTAAGATATTCTTAGATATACGGGGCACCACCCTTTAATTAGAAAGGGAAATGAATCCAAAACTCTTATCAGTCTTTCTTGAAGTTCGTAGAATCCTCGGAGCAGAGACTTCTCTTCGACACAACAAAGCTACTGGACACAAAAATCTGAATTTTATAACATTTAATTAACAATTTGTCAAATGAATAAACAGTGGAATAGATGAATAATAACCGTGTGATATGATTGAAGATGGATGTGTTTGCATGTGATGGAGGATGTATGAATGGGGTCCTTTGTTCTCACAAAGGAGTAGTGTGTGTGTGTGTGTGTGTGCGTGTGTATGGATTCAAAATGGAGTCTTGAATACAAGATGGCTGACCCCTTTGTCTGGCTAAAGTGTGGGTGGCAACTTGCACTTTAACTTCCAAAGCACTTAGAATCAGTAGTAACTTAACCTTAAATCACTCAAAACATTTCAAAAGATCATGAAACAACACAAAAGATTAATCACAAATTAATATCTTTTAGTTTCATCCTGGCCATGACAGAAACCATTTTAAGATACCAAACAATGATCAATAAGCAGTTTATTCTTTCAAAATGACCCGACTGACGTGTTTGGGACGAAAGAGGAAAGCACGAAGCTACTTTTTAAGCAATAGACGCGGTTTATTGCTTATTCGAGACTATAGAGGAAACGGGAGAAGGAAAGAATGAGAGAAAGAGATGAGTTTCTGATCACCAGAACAGTGAAGCGTCCCTCACTGTTTTGATTTGACGGTTCTCCGTGTTTCTCCGCAGCTTTCGGCGTCGTCCGTCGGTTTGATGCTTTCTCCGTTGTTTGGCGTTCACGAGTGTTTCTCCACGGGCTGGACAGAGACAGCAAAGTTTCTTTCTGTGCTGAGTTATAACTTACAGCGTGCTTGATGGAGTTGTTGCTTTCCTCCGCAGTTCTGTGTCCTCAAACATCAGCTGGAGGGGAGCAGAAACGAGCAGATCTGATGGGCTTGCAGTTTAGTTTCCAGCAGTTCCGTGGGCTCAACGTGGGCACTTAGAGCTTCCGCGTGCTCAAGGGAGTCAGAGCGTTGACAAGCGTGTCCTTACCGCCAGGTATCCTGGGCAAAAGAACGAGGTTTCTTTGTCTCTGCTGAAGATTTATGGTCTTAGTTCGCGGGAAAAGCTCCACGGCTTCCCGCACATGCGCAGAACGTGTTTCTGGTACTAGGCGGTAACATCACCCAATGCTTCCGTGTGCAAAGCATCATGGGAAATGAAGTTTCTTGGCGCTGATGTGATTATTTGCTTTTCAGAGCAATTTAAGCACAGTCATTTTGGAGAAAATCACTGCATAGTAATTTCCTCATGAGGTCAGACCCTCAACATTCCCCCTTTTGGTTTCGGGGATCGCGCCCAAAGCTCGATCGTCGGAAGCACAGATGGGTTTGTTCCTCATGAACGTAGGTCGACTTGATTGTCGGAAGCACAGGTGGGTTTGTCCCTTAGGACGTTGGTCTCCTTGGACGCCTTTGTCTTTGGTCTTTGTCTTGGATCCTGGCGCCTTTGGTCTTTGATCCTGGTCAGGCACAAAGAGGATAGGAAACGGGATAGTCCCCAACGCGCATAACGAGAAGAAGCCACTCACGCAGGTGGTACGCAATGATGATGTCGTCCATGCGAGAGGTAGTAGTGTAGAAGGAGGAAGGTCGGTGGGCGGTTAACTCCACGAGTGGACACAAAGGCATCTCACCGCCGGCCATACAGTTCAGTTTATGGAGCACGCGGTGATGTACGAGGTCCATAGTTCGCAAACGCGCATTGACCTATGTGGTCCCAAGATTCCCCCCTTTTTTGGTCCAAAGGGTGGATCAGGACAGTCTTTGGGCTAAAACAAGGACCATAAAACTAAGAGGTACTACAATGTGCTGGTGCGTCAGACAGAGTCATTGACAGACTGAGCTGGGCCGGCACATAACCACTAGTCAATATGTGACCAAGTAAGAAACAAAAATACAGAAAACCCCAAAAAAAAAACATGTAACATATAACATCCAAGAAAATTCATAGCAACCTTGAGGTCTCATAAAATACATTCTTAGGTCATACATTCAGTGTGTAGCTTATAAAGAATGTGACATAATGCAACACTCAGATAAAAATGTGAGGTAGACTAAAGTGAGAACTACTCTTAGGGTTACAAAATAATAAAGAAAATGTTGCTCACCCCCTTTAGACAGGTGTGGTACATTCACGCTTGGATTCTCCCCGAACGCGGTCACGAGGCACACCGTAGGTGAGCAAGTGCATCTTATCTTGGAGTTTCTTAACACGCCTGTAGGCGGAATAAGCTATCACGGCCGTGATGAGCCATCCCATCCCCAGGGCGACCAATGTGCAGATTAAGGTGGTATAATCTGTGTCAATGTAGCGTCTTGGGTATCTATTCATGGGCGTCAAAGTAAGTTCACGCGGGGTTTGTGTGAACTTAACAAGTTTGGTTCCTTCAATCAGTAATTGTTGGTCAATTTCTAAATCGAAGGCAAAGTTACAACCCCGGAAAGCGTCCATGATCTCAATCTCTGAGTCATGCTGTTCGAGGTTGAGGTGATGGAGTGTCAGGTTTCTAGTTCAAAGTGGAAATGCCTACCGTCCTTTCAAACACCAATGTTCAGCATCGACTTAAACCTATAGATGTGAGGTGTCACAATTATGGGAACATGTAACAGGAAACCGAGTTCTAATTTTCTGCATCAACGTGAATGGGAATTGCACTACCTAGGCTGTACGCTAGGTGGATTTGTGAAAGGTGCACAGTAGAGGGGTAGCAGCTGTCAAGCTAACTTTGAGCAGGTCCAGTGGTACCAAGTACGGGGAAATACGACTTTCAACCAAGCTGTCCAGCGTGGAACTTACTTCCCTGAGCAGGTCCTGCATCAAATCTCCCACCACTCGTGTGTACACAATATCCTGATGTATGGTTTCAGACAAAGTCTTGATTGCACGTAGAGATTCATTAATCAGAGCCTAGTATAAGT